TCCACTCCTGTAAAGGTTTACTGCCTCGAAAACTCCTGTGTAGGCAGATGGTGAAGTGGTTGAAGCCGAGCTGCTGTGATATCATCAAGGTGCTTCTTATCCCTGCGCAGCCTTTCTTCTGCGGAAATCGGAGGCTCTCTCTGCTGGCAAAGGCTAGATGAATCATTTGGTTGTGAAGGTAATCTGAAAAGGAGACAACTTTGGCTATACAATCAAAGTATTTTCTTTTTACAGACACACAGAGAAATGATCTTTAACCTTACAAGGTAGTTCTTTTCTAAAAAGGTTAACTGTAAACAGTACACCTATATTGCATTTGTCGATATAGACGCTTTCCTTTTTCTTAACATATTTACTTCTAAATATACACATTTAAATAAACCCTCTTATGGAGAATTTGACAATTCATCGTTGTGATAGTAGGCAGAGACATGGTTGTTTCCGTCTTTTCCGTGCTACCCTTAGCCCCTCACCCTACCCTACCCCTAAAGAAACCTTGAATTAAAGCTGCCGCTATTCTTTCATCTATTAATTCAATAAACATCTGTTAACGGGCTTAGTGTCAAGTAGAGGGAAACAAGCATGCAGTTTCAGTGCAATTAACACAAAAGGTTTTATGAAAGACATCCACCTAGCACACTGGAGCATAAATATATACATTACCAGTTCTACTAGGGGGTTCCTATTCCCTGCTTTGGAATCTTGGTGTGGTGCTGAAGGATAAGCACTGAACTGCTAACCAGAAGGTTGGCAGTTCAAACCCAGGTTCCTCAGAAACCCTACACAGGGTCACTATGAGTCAGAACCTACTTGATGGCACACAACAACATTCCCTGATGTGAACACTGCATTTGAATATTTTTCACAGAACTTTTAATCTTTCTGGAGATCTCAGCAATAAAGCTGCAAGGAGCTATTAGCAGGGTTTGTACCCACCCTGCTTGGATCTGTTTTCACAATGGTTTTCAGCATCTTTTCTAACACCATCCCGGACACTGTCATTATTATTTAACATTTTTCCAAGTGTGTAAGCCTTAGAGATCTTCATCTAGATCCTAAACCCTTTGTCTCACCAACAGTACCTGCTGCTTACATATAAGCATTCAACTATTTTCTAGAAGAATGTCCTAACTGCTCCTGCAATTGCTTTCCCTAAGTTTACAGCCTAATCAAAGGAAAAATCATTTTCAACATAATTCAAAATAGTTATGTTTAAAAAAAAAGGGGGGCATAATACAAGTGATAGGTATATAAGAGGAACAACAACACTAGTGAGGTACGCACACCATAGAATGGTCAATCCTTTGAGATCCAAAGGCAGCATTTCCCTACGGACAAAATTCAGAAGGATTGGTAGGAGAGGAGGAATAGAAACAAGAATCACAGGGAGGAAGTGGGATAAAGTGATGTTACATGGAAGGGATTGCAATCATTGACATGAAATGAAGTGTATGATTTGTTGAATGTAAAACGGATGGTCTGCTGTGTAAGCCTCCACTCAATCCACAATAAAAAGGCATTCATATATTTGCTAACTGTGTATTATTAAACACTGATCAAACATTATGAAGTTAAATATTCTCCCATTTGTTACTGAATCTTTTTCAACTATTTGGCTAAAATACTAACATGTTTTTCAACATGACTCCTCCTGTCAGGCTGCTGTTTTCCCAATATGTTCATTCTCAGCTACAGGTAGTTCTC